TCCCCGCAGCTGGCCGACAGCGAGTTCTCCCCCGTCTTCCGCCTCCTGACCATCTTCGCCTACGGCACCTACGCGGACTACCTGGGTGAGGCCGGGCCCCGGGGCGGCGGGGGCACAACGCGGTCCGGGGGCCCTTTCCCCTCCCGGTGATGCTGGTCCCTCGGTGCGGAAAACGTGCCGGAGCCCCCAGCCGCTGTAGACCCTCGCCCAAACTGCACCCCTTCGCAGCAAGAGCCGTGCCTCCCATCACCACGGCCTGACGGACGCCCGATTGCGGTTTGGGCCCGAGACCACTGGAGTAGCTGACAATAATTAATGCTGCCGTTTGCCAGCTCTGTGGGGAATTTCCAAGAATGTCTTGACAAAGACGTTTTTGAGGGGCGAGGGGAAAGACAGGTATCCACTGGGATGTGCAGACCTCCGTAAATAAGGCACGGGACAGCTAGAGGGAATGACTTGACGCTGAGGGGAGGGAAGGCTGCTCAGAAAAGGTCTTTTGAGCTGAGAATTAATGGGGATGGCTTGGCAAGACGAAGCATCGATTGGGGGATTGGTGTGCAGAAGCTTTAAGAAACGGGTATGGTGCAGATGCTTCTGTGCAGGGCTGGGAAATGGAAAATGAGGCATAAATTCTTACACCCTGTTCTTCCCCCGACAACAGCTGAAGCGGCAAACCTCCCTCCCTTGACAGAGGCTCAGAAGAACAAGCTGAGGCACCTGTCAGTCGTCACTCTGGCTGCCAAGATCAAGGTAGTGGCCCTATTTTTCCTCGAGTTCTCCTTCCACTGGGATTACCTCATGCTAGTTACCATCATGTTTCCACAGTGCATCCCCTATTCAGTGCTGCTGGAGCAGTTGCAGCTGAAGAACGTCCGGCAACTGGAGGACCTCGTGATTGAGGCTGTGTATGCAGATGTCCTGCGAGGGAGCTTGGATCAGCGGAACCAGCGCCTGGAGGTGGATTACAGCATTGGGAGGGACATCCGGAGGGAGGAGCTAAGCACCATCACCCGCACATTGCAGGAGTGGTGAGGAGGAAGCCCCCAATACTAACACCCCAAAAAGGTTGCAGGAGTGGCCGGTGGCTTCCCCCGATCCTCTGTGTGTCGCAGGGGGGTAGTGTTGTGAGGTGGCCTACTTGATCCCCTTTCCCGTACTCCAATGGAAAGTAATTTTCGGAAAATAATTTTCCAAATTCCCCTGTTTGTTGCTGGAGGGGTGATGAGTCCGCAGCAACCTTTGCACAGTCCTGGCTGCTGGCAGGAGGCTTTCTGAGTATATATCTGTAGTTCCCAACCTCGTGTCACTTTATTTGTCCCCCTCCCAGGTAATAACGTCACTACGTTATTACATTGGACTCCTGCTCCTGTGTCTTCCCTGCCTGGTGTAGCCGTCACCTTCCCGTCTTTTTGGCCTCTAGAGTTGAAATCTGCCATCTTTCACGTTTCTTTCTATGCTGTGTAAATTACCTGGCCTGTTCAGTTCTGCGTCTTCTCTCCAGGTGCCAGGGCTGCGAGGTTGTCTTGTCGGGCATTGAAGAACAGGTTAGCCGAGCCAACCAACATAAAGAGCAACAGCTGGCACTTAAGCAGCAGATAGAGAGCGAGGTGAGTGGGCCGAGGAGGGAACAGCCAGTGCCCCTCACTTAAAAATAACTAGAACCAGTATCCTGTGGTTGTTAGGGTCTTCGCTCAAGTAAGGCGTTACCTTTTCCCTAGGCCAGACCCCCCAGGGGGTTGTGCCTGAAGAAGAGTCCTAAATCAGCTTAACACTCCTCTGCAGTGCAGAGGTCTGGACAGCTGTTAGCTCTTTTGTTTGACCTGAGCTTGCAGCTCTTAAATCCAGGGCTTGCTTTAAAACAAAAGAAAACCCCAAACCCCCCCCAGAAAACCAGAAAAAACTAAACAAACTAAAAAAAAAAACAAAACAAACTACAAACCGTGGGAAATTCCTTGGTTCTTGCTTTTCTGCTGTTGCAGGTGGCAAACCTGAAGAAGACCATTAAAGTGACAACAGCAGCCGCCGCGGCAGCCACATCCCAGGACCCTGAACAGCACCTAACAGAGCTCAGGGAGCCGGCCCCTGGCACCAACCAGCGCCAGGCGAGCAAGAAAACTTCCAAAGCCAAAGGGTGAGGAGTGGGGGCAAACGAGCAGAGCCACTCTGCGTGTGTGTTCGGGAGGTGAACTGAGGGGAGCCCTGTTTCAGAGCAGTGAGGTTACTGACTGCAGGGGTCTGCTCCCTGGACATGGGATGGTCAGATAGGTAGTCCCAGCTGAGCTCGTCTCCTGCTGATTTGGGGGAAGATCTCTGCAACTCTTGATCTGAAGCAGAGTTCGTAAGCCTTCCTTGTGTTCTCCTCTTGCGAAGAGCGTCAGCCGCTCCTCTTTGTGTGCATTTAGAAAAGGAAGTCAGGGGTGAGCCTTAGTGTCCACTCTGAATTGTGGTGGTGGTGGTGTGTTTTTTTTCTCTCTCCACAGGCTCCGAGGCAGTGCGAAGATTTGGTCTAAATCAAACTAGTTGGATCTCCCTTCACAACTGGGAGGGTGAGAGGAAGAGATTTGGGGGATGGAGGGGTAGCAAGGGTCCCAAGTGTGATGCTTCTGAGCTCTTCTGAGATCCATCTTGCCAACTAATTCTCCTGCATGTTTGTTCTCTTTCCTATCTTCTTTACCAACTTTCCAGGCAGTGCCTCCCTCCTCTTCATCACAGCATTTCACACTCTAAGCTTCCAGTTATATGCGTTGCTGTTTCCCCTACCCCTCAAGCCCCCATCGCCATGGCCGTGTGTTTCTCTCTTTCTCTCTCCCTGTCTTTTGACAGGTCAATTTAAAGAGCCATAAAACTGTGTAATATAGATCTATGGACATATCTATACAAACTTGTGCTCCTGTGGTGGTATCTCTGTCTCGTGTACTGATTCTGGACGTTCCAAAATAATCTGTGATATTGAGAGCCTCTATCCCATTTCTGGGTGGAATATATCCTCAAAATACTCACTTCCTTTTTCCAAAGAGCAGTGCCACAGTAGCTCAATAGAGCTGGGACAAGAGTCCATAAAGCAGGAATGAATCACAAATCTTATTTAAAGAGTTTCTCGTGTGATTGATTGCATGTGGAACGTTCAAAAGAGGTGCTTTTCAGGTAGTCTCAGAGGAAGGTGCAGAGATTGAGGATAAAGTGTCAATGCTACGTGCTCAGTGATCCTGGATGAAACGGAAAGTGATGTGGGGACTTGTCTGACAGAGAGGTTGAAGGTACGGAGTCAATGCCCATCTGGGTGAGTTTTCATGGTATAGATGCTGCTTAAACCATTCTTGGCTGATGTTGGAGCCTGGTCGAAAAAGATCTTTTCAATTAAATCGATTCCTGTGAGATGCCCAGAAAAAACCATCAGATTCTTCAGAGGATGCATGCTTGAGACCGGCTTGAAGCCAAGTCAGATGGATGCGAGAGTTTCTCGTGTGATTGATTGCATGTGGAACGTTCAAAAGAGGTGCTTTTCAGGTAGTCTCAGAGGAAGGTGCAGAGATTGAGGATAAAGTGTCAATGCTACGTGCTCAGTGATCCTGGATGAAACGGAAAGTGATGTGGGGACTTGTCTGACAGAGAGTTGAAGGTAGCGGAGTCAATGCCCATCTGGGTGAGTTTTCATGGTATAGATGCTGCTTAAGCCATTCTTGGCTGATGTTGGAGCCTGGTCGAAAAAGATCTTTTCAATTAAATCGATTCCTGTGAGATGCCCAGAAAAAACCATCAGATTCTTCAGAGGATGCATGCTTGAGACCGGCTTGAAGCCAAGTCAGATGGATGCGAGTGTCGCGCCGCTGTTCCACGATGGTGTACGCTGATGTAAATGTAAATTGACACCGTGACTCCCACCCCCGCTTGGTTCTGCTGCTTTCCCTGTGCCAATGCTAAAATTTGATTCCCTGAACCTGGGTGTCTGTGCGTGAGCAAACCACTGGAAAATTAACGCAACAAGGGAAAGCCCTGATCTTTGTCTGCACGGAGACTTTTTCAATTCACTGGCCCGGGTGAGTTCTCTTCTGGGTCAGTTCCCTGTGCAGACAAGTGAGAGCTGGAGCTGAGGCAGCGTAGGTGGGAGCAAGCCTTGTTAAGGGGGTGGGGAGGGGGGCTGAGACCATGCTTGTTTTAGTGGTAGCAAGGTGTGATGTCATCTCACTACTCACCACAAAATGCTGGTTTGTGCACTATTGCTGTTTTACTAATTCTGGACTGCTGTAGTACAGCACTAACTTTCAGTGGGAAACCCCTGTCACCTGAACCCGTGAACTCATAAAACTTTCAAGCAGCTTTCTTCCCCGTGTGTAAGGTCACAGGGCAGGGCATACCAGCCAGCTGTGCCAGGGGCAGGGATGTGCCGAGCTGTCCTGGGGTGACTGCTTGTCACTGGCTTACGTCTCCCAAGAGCTAGGGCAGTCCCACACCTTTCCCCCATTCTGCGCCCTGAGGCATCAAGCCCCTTAGCTGCAGTCATCTGGCAAGAAAGTGCCAAGTAGGAGAGGTTTGGCATGAAGCTGTCCAGACGAGAGGTGTAAATCTGGCTGCGGGAGCGCATAAGGGGGCAGCTCAGCCACGGGTTGTCTCAGCCCACCTAGAGAGGTCTGGCTAATGTGCAGCAATAGGGAGTCTACTTGATGAGTCCTGTTTTCTGTAAGTTGCAGGGAGGGGTTGTGACAAGGCTTTCAGCTTTTGTTTATGTTACCGCAAGCCTTCCTCCCTCTGCATCACATCACCTTCGTCTGTCTCTCTCAATGAGGAAAGTCACCGTGCTCACTGCATTTGCGATTGTCTGCAAGGAGCAATAATGTTTGTGTGCATCAGATTCTCTCGCTCCCTGGGAAGGGCTAGTCTGGGACCAAGATGCCAACGGGGAGGTGATACCTGGCAAGCCCTGAGCACCTGCCATATGTCTGGCACCTCACGTCCTTTGAAAAAGGAGCCTCTTGCAAAGCCGTTGGGGTGTGATGCGAAGGAGAGAGGAGAATGGGCTTGGGATGGAGCCGAGCAGCCAGACAAAGCACGTGTCTTAACAGCCGGCTGAGGTCCAGCAGGAGCTGGGCTGGAGCGGTGGTGGTAACAGGGCTGGAGTGGTGGCACCTCCAGGGAAAGCTGAAGTTACCAATAATGGAGGAGGATATTTGTGCCCCACAAAAGTCCCACTGCCGCTTAGGAGGAGTAGCCGTAACAGCTCTTTGTCCCCAGTGTCGGCTCCTCTCTGACCTGTTGGGCTTTGCTCTCTTTAACCCCACTGTGGCTATTAGGCACAAAGGGTCTTTTTAAACACCCTGAATTCACAGTTTAAATCCAGGCTGCAGATTCCGGGAGCGGAGTTGGAAGCGTCCCGAGCCAGCACTGAGCGCTCCACGCCAGTCGCACATGATACGCTTGTGTGAGTGCCCTGCACAGCACACGGCAAGGCGGAGCAGCGCCTGAGCTCTGTACACACGCTGGCATCGGTCTCGTGAGCACAAAAACCCGTGCATGGGTGACAGCAGCCAGAGCGTGGACCAACACGGGGTCCTGGGGGGGCTTGCCACGCCAGGCCTAGGCTGTGCTGAAGCCCCAGGCTCGGATCCTCATGGCTAAATCCCAGCCATTGCGAGTCTGCCTGCGTGCTTCTGCCATAACTTTGTTTTGTGGCATCCAGCTTTCCCCCCGCCTCCAAGGCTCAGCTCAGCTCTCCGATGGCGGCATTTGCCAGGCACAGACATAGGCCTTGCTCCCCCTTCCCATTTTCCTATTTGCCCCTCTCGAGGCTCGTTGTGTTGTGGAATTCGGAAGAGTTTGGTATTAAATGTATTTGCTCAAGGGGCATCTGCACAGCTCTGAAAGTCTTCCATTTTGTTTACTTTTCAAAGGGAACACCTTTTAAGACCTCCATTAAGAAAAAGGAAGCAGAAAGCAGATAAAATTACTTCAGACCTTTGGTATGACTGAAAAATAAATGAGAGGTGTGCAGTGCAGAATGAAAATATTGCTGCAAATTGCCTTGCCGGATGGCAAACAGTGGGCAGGAGCATAGGTTTCCCTTTGCCCTTCCCCCGAAAACCACGCTTTTTTATTTTCCTGCTCGCTTCAGCCATGACTGAATTTCAGTCAGAGAGGCTGTGAAGATTAATTAATTAGTTAACATTTGTAAATCACTTTGCAGATGGCAAGAGTGAGGTAAGTACTGAGCATTATTATTACAGGTTTTCATTTAAATTTTAAATGTCTTTGTGTTTTTAACCCTGTTTTCTCCCGAAGAAAAGACTGAGAAAACAGTCCCCGAGCAGAGCAGAACGGAAATACCTGGACACACGACACCCTAAGCCCTGGCAAAGGACTGAGGTTTAGGGGATTGTAGAAGAGAGGGTATGGCGAAGTGTTCGTCCCAGCTTGAGGAGCAGGAGGGCTGCCAGCCCCAGCACAGAAAATGTAACGACTCTTGCACAGTAATGCGTTGCGACCCCTCTTTGGGTATGATACGTGGGACTTTCACATCTGGATTCAGAAAAGGGAAGAGGTAGGACAGGACCTATCCCTGCTCCTCCAATTCACATCTGGCTGGGGTCTGAGTTTTGCCAGCCACCCTGTGCTGAGAGGTAGCCACAGATTCTTATTAGGAATCATGGTTAATGAGGGTAATTCTTTTGCATTACTGGGGGCGCAATTTCTTCTGGGGCGCTTGCTGCTCCCCTTCTTGAAGGTGATGGGGTCAGACACCATGGTGCCAGCAGCCCAGCGTCTGCTGTGGTGCCCATCTGTAGCCGGTGAGGGGAGAGGAGCCTACCAGCTGGGCAAGCGCCCTGCAGGACTTGCCCATGTTCTTCCCATCCTCCGGTGGTTCGTGCTGGGGGACCTTTGGAGGTAAAGGTGGTCTTTGTGCTTAATGGCCCTCAGCAGGGCTCCCCTCAAAGGGAGCCAACATTTTGCTTATGGGGGTTGCTGAGGCCGCCCTTGCCTCTGTTCCCCAAATGAGACATACAAGGGGGTTGTTTTTGTTTTTTGATGAACGGGTGGGCTGGTGTGTATCAAAGTATCTGTCAAACATTACCAAGCCTCCTTTGGTAAAGGTGGTCTTTGTGCTTAATGGCCCTCAGCAGGGCTCCCCTCAAAGGGAGCCAACATTTTGCTTATGGGGGTTGCTGAGGCCGCCCTTGCCTCTGTTCCCCAAATGAGACATACAAGGGGGTTGTTTTTGTTTTTTGATGAACGGGTGGGCTGGTGTGTATCAAAGTATCTGTCAAACATTACCAAGCCTCCTTTGTGCCGGGCCACGCGGGCAGGGGGGGAACGTCTCATGACAGCAGGTTTCCCCAGGCTGGTCTGGGGTGACCCGGGAAGATGGCAGCCTTGCCTCCGCTCAGCAGCAGGATACGCGCCCACCGCCTCCATCCTCCTGCGGGTCCCCAGTGCCAGCCAGGAAGTGGGTGCTGCAGCATCCTTCAGGGCTGCGAGGACACTGCAGAGGTCACAGTGATGCCGGCCAGCTTGCGTTTACCAGTCTGTGGGATTTTCATGCGGCTGTGTGGTCCCCCAGAGCTAAAAGCAGGGATGCCTCACCTCTGCTCTAGCGGGGCATTGGCCCACCTCTTCTCCGAAGGCTTTTCATGGAAGGTGGGTTCCTGGCAGTCTGGTCTGTTGGGTGAACCGACATAGACGGATGGGTGTCCTGGTCTGCTTCCCATGGGGCCGTACCTTCTCACAAAGGCTCCCTGCTGACAGCAGCCACTGAGGATTGTGCCTGCCTCTTGCCACGGCTGGACCAGGCGCCCTGGGATGAGGCCCTGGCTCTGCAGGACTACGACGTAGTGCACGGTAGCGTAGTTGAAAGAGTCCCAC